CGCTCATTCTCAATCCCATACTTCTCCCCCAGCTCCTTGATGAACTTCTCCTGGTGCAGCTTCAACCACCTGTGATCAGGATCCCTCTCCATGTGCATCCCGAGGTAGTACTTTACCTCCCCAAGGTTCTTGCACTTGAAGTTTTCCATCAGTTGCTGCTGCACTTTCTGGATCTCCTTCATGCTGCTGCTGAAGAGAAGAATGTCGTCCACGTAGACCAGAAACAGCACCAGCTTCTCCCCCTCGCCCTTGAGAAAGAGGCTCTCATCACAGCTGCTGGTCCTGAATCCCATCTCCTCTAAAACAGCTGCCAACTTCTGGTACCAGCAGCGTGGCGCCTGCTTCAAGCCGTAGATGGACTTGTTGAGCTTGCACACCCTGCCCGTACCATCCTCATACCCAGGCGGCTGCATCATGTACACATCCTCCTCTAAAATCCCATTCAGAAATGCCGTTGAAATATCCATCTGAATGATGAATTTCCCACTAACGGCTGCATCTGCCAACAAGACACGGAGGGTAGGGGGTTTGGCAGTGGGAGCAAAGATCTCGTTGAAGTCCTGCTTCTCCTTCTGCATAAACCCCTTAGCCACCAACCTACTCTTGTAGATGGTGACCTGCCCCTTGTCGTCAGTCTTGATCCTTAGCACCCACTTGCATTGTACCGCTTTCTTTCCCTCAGGCAGCACCACTAGTTCCCAAGTCCCATTCTCCAGCAGGCTCTGGTACTCAGCATCCCTAGAAGCCAGCCACTTGTCTCTATCTGGTCCAGCTAATGCCTCCTCCATGCTAGCTGGTTCCTCTGGTGCAGGGGCAAGAAAACAGTACGCAGGCTCATCCTCCTCATCCGGGTCATAGCCATGCGGTAGAATCAGCAATGCCTCTTCGGTCCCTAGCTGCTGCTCTGCTGCATCAGTTCCTGCAGTCAGCTTCTTAGTAGCCATACGGGTACGTCCTGGCCTGGAGACGGGTGTCTCCCATCCCTTCATAACGACACCCTTCGGCTTCTTAGTTTTCCCCTGCTGCTGCTCTCCTCCCTTGGATCCAGCAGCTTCACTAGTGCTGCCGCCACTTTCCACACCATTTTCTCCACCAACAAGTGCCTCCTGTACCTTCTCTCCATCACCATTCCCCGCAGCTGCCTCCTCTCCCTCCTCCCACACACTAGGAGTCAGGTCCAGCTGCATGGTGATCTGCTCCATCTGCTGGGACACCCGGGCCTTCGGCTGTTTCTCCCAGCTCCCTCATAACGATACCCTTCGGCTTCTTAGTTTTCCCCTGCTGCTGCTCTCCTCCCTCGGATCCAGCAGCTCCCTTAGTGCTGCCGCCACTTTCCACACCATTTTCTCCACCAGAAGATGCCTCCTGTACCTTCTCTCCATCACCATTTCCCGCAGCTGCCTCCTCTCCCTCCTCCCACACACTAGGAGTCAGGTCCAGCTGCATGGTGATCTGCTCCATCTGCTGGGACACCCGGGCCTCCGGCTGTTTCTCCCAGCTCCCATACATCATGCCCTCAATGAATTTCACATCCCTGCTGTCAAACAACACACCCTTGGATGGTTCCCACAGCAGCCATCCCTTGCTCTCAGCAGCCAGCCCCAAATGCACACACCAGATTGCACTCGCCCCCAACTTACTTCGGTAGGTCTTGGGGACGTGGGCGACTGCCATGCAACCGAACACCCTCAGCATGTCCACCGGCGGCTTCCTCCCAAGCCACCTCTCCAAAGGCACCCACGAGTCATCCCCAACCTTGGTGAGCACCCTGTTCCTAGCGACGGTGGCGTGCCGGACAGCATGAGGCCACATAGAATTGCTCAGCCCAGATTCTATGAGCAGCGCCCTAGCTGTCTCCAGAATGGTCCGGTTTGCCCGTTCTGCTACGCCATTGGACTGTGGGGTATAAGCCGTGGTCAGCTCTCTCTGGATGCCCTGCTTCTTGAGCCAGGCTGTCATTTCAGCTCCAAGGAACTCACCACCCCGGTCTGTCCTAATCCGCTTCACTACACACTCCGCCTGCTTCTCCACGAATGGCAGCCAATCGTCCCGTATCGTGGAGGCGGCGTGGTCCTTCTGCTTCAGCGGATACGCCCACATCAGCCTGCTCCAGTCATCCACAATTGTAAGAAAATACCGCTCCCCCTTGTGCCCTTGCACCGGCAGCGGCCCCACCAAGTCCATGTGGACCAGCTCCAAAGGCTTCTTGCTCCTGTCAGCCCAACACATACGTACGTTACCTACCCATCATACCCCGGATAGAAGCGCCCCTGGGGTTATAAAAAAACACTGTTTTTTAGGGGGTGGGCTTATAATTGAGGATTTTTATAAGCGCCGGGGCTTATATAATGACATATATGAAATCATGTCGTCTTTGCGATTTGAATCGAATCGATATTGTAGAGGGCAATGAATGTGAATTTCGCGTGAATTGGCAGTGGCTGATTCCATGCCAACACACACAGTCAGAATGAGTCAGATTGACCCCATGACAGCTCATTCTGACTGGACGCGAAGGCATTGAGTCGCGCGAGGGTGAAGGGATTCGAAATTCTGAATGTGGGAATGCAAAGTTGTGTTTCGTTACAGAGTTTCTACTAAAAATATAAGAAAACATTACAAAGGGTGGCGCTTATAATCCGTAAGCCTTCAGGGGTGCGCTTATAATCGAGGACCGGATATAAGCGCCCTCATCCTTTTATAAGCGCCGGCGCTTCTCATAGGCATGCGCTTCTATCCGGGGTATTACGGTATCCATTGTGCACCAGTCATTGTGCATGCAAGAATCAGCCATATCTCAACAACTACCAATCTTAAATGAAAAGCAACAAAACCAATCCCTACCCACACTGCCCAACATTATCCCTTATTAACTACATGATCCCTAATTCAACCACCTTCAGCCCATACATGTTGTAGATGCCACGAGGCTGTACCTTGTCTTCCCTGTCAAACAGGTGCCGGCAATCCCTCACATCCAAGTAGCGCAGCATCCTCAGCTCTGTCACATCATGCGGCAGGGCTTCAAAATGCTCACATCCATTCAGAGTGAGTCGCCTCAGTCTGGCCAATCTAGCGAATCCAGAGGGGAGTGAGAGAATGGAAGTGTATGAAGCATCTAGCTCCTGCAGGCATGTGAGATGGGTGAGGGAAGCAGGCAGCTGCTGCAGGGCCCTGCAACCGGACACATCGAGCTTGCACAGCCGAGTCAACGCACTGATGCCACCAGGGAGACACACCAGCCCGGATCGTCTAATCGTCAAACACTGCAGCTCACACACGCTTGCCGGAAGCTCAGTCAAAGATGGTTTTTCAACTTTCAGCCTCCTCAGCTGCGGCACAGACGATCCAATGCATTCGGGAAGCCTCGCCAGATCCGCGAAACCAGCCCTGGGCCTAGAAGACTTTGTGCGAACCTGCGGTAACCCTAGAGATCCCCAGAAAGTTGGAGCCTCTCTCCTAGCGCGTGGTTTGGAGGATGGGGGGAAACCGACTCTCGAAGGTTCACCTCCTCAGGCGGTTTGGGGGAAGAAATTGCTCTCGGCAGAAAGCTTCAGATCTTTCCTCTAAGAGCTGGCGTTGTGAGCGTCTGGAGTGTCGCGGGCTGCATGTGGAACTGACTGCGAGCTCGCGACGTAGTCAAGCCGCGTGTAGACTCGGCTGCTGCTGGAAGCACGGGTCCAGCTGAGATCGCGTTTTATTAGCCGCGGCGCACGCATTCTGAGCGACCCAGCGTTGTTTCAGGTGAGCGGGAAGATATACATTCGCAGCAACTGCTGCTCCTAGCTTGGTCTGTCTTAGTCATAAAGAACACACGAAACTGATTCTATTTGACCTTCGACACTACTGTATGCTCGTGGAAGCCGTGGTATACTAGCATACTCGCACCAGGCATTCGACTCTGTGAAGGTTGTGTTAAGCTTCAGTTGAGCAGCCAGTCCGTGCGTTCGACTGACGTCATGGCGTCTAGTGGAACCCACATCCACGATCTCCTCGACGACATCCTCCTCAGGATCTTGTGGCCTTTTAAACCGTCGATCTCCAAATCTGAGAGCGATGATCTGTGGCACTCAGTGGGGCACAGGCCCATGTACCTCGCCGCGCACGCTACTCCAGGAGAGCGCTGGCGCAAGCGAAGGGATACTCCCATGCGGACCCCTCCTGCCTCCGCAGATACCGCTCAGAACCTATTCATTGCGTCCGTCTGCCGTCGCTGGCGGCGTCTCGTTCAGAGGCATGTCTCATCGCTGCTCGTCAAGGAAGATCGCGTCGTGTCTCGCCGCGATGTGCTCAACGCCGTCGCGTGCTTTCCCCAGCTGACCCATCTGCATCTGGCGGATGGCAGTGTTGAAACGCTGGACGACGCGTTTCTAGCTGACCTCGCCTCTTTGTGCCCTGGGTTGAGAGCGTTGCACGTGGGGAAGCTGATGATGAATGCGGACGAGCGACAGGACAGAAGGAACGAGCGCGTGATCACCGAATCTGGCTTGGATCATTTTTTCCGCCACTGCTGGCAACTGGAGCAGCTGTCGCTGTATTGCCTTGAGGAAAGTCTGGGCCCACCAGCTTCATTGTTTCAGCTTCAGCATCTCAGCGCCCTCGTCCTCACCACTGCTCTCATCTTGGAATCTCCAAATCTCAGCTGCCTTTCGTCTCTCACTGCACTCTCCATTGAAGCCGCTCACCTTCACTACGAACAGCTTTCCAACCTCCTTCAACTCACGAACCTCATCCGCCTCTCCTTGCCTCTTGTGCTTCCGCCGGTTTCACCAGATCCGCCTGCCTTGTCACTCGCGCAACTGCCTTTTCTCAAGTCGCTCAAGTTTGGGCTGCATGATGCACAGTTTAGCTCTTTCTTCCCTCTTGAACCGCCATACAGGTTTGTGAAACGCCTGCAGCTTCGCGATTCCTTGATCCAGCGTCTTCCAAGCAGTATAGGACAGGTGCTGCCACGCCTCCAGGAGCTCATCATCAGCGGGTGCAGAAACTTTAGCGATCTGATGGACGAGCTCACCTCGCTCACCTGCTTGGAGCGCTTGACCATTTCCTCATGCAGTGTGTCCACTCTGCCCGACAACTTTGGAGCTCTTCCAGCCTTGAATGCACTCGTGCTGCACGAGCTGCCGCTTCTCCGTCTCCCTGCTTCCTTCACCAGACTTGCATCGCTGGAGTCGCTGCTTCTCGTTGGGTGCAAGGAGGTGCAGGAGCTACCTGCAGGGTTTGGCTGCCTTACTGCACTCGAGACACTGAGCGTGGCATGGTCGTCCTCTCTGGACATTCCGGAAGACTTGGGTGGCCTGACCAATCTGCGAACCCTTCATTTCCAGAATAGCAGACAAGAGCAGCTGCCGTCCTCATTCACGCAGCTGACTTCCCTGACCAGGTTGGAGCTGGAACGTTGTGAGGTTGTTGAGCTGCCAGAGGGCATGGCGGAGATGACACACCTGCAGGAGCTCCACATTGAGAGCTGCCCTTCTTTCATAGAGCTTCCGGAACTTCTGACAGCTCTTATCAGCCTTGAAGTGCTCAGGATTGAACAGTGTCACAATTTCTCCTCGATCCCCACGAGGCTGGACAGTCTTACGAAGCTGACGCAGTTGGGGCTGAGGGGCTGTTGCCTGCAGAACGAAGCCCCTCTGGCTCTGCCTCCCAGTCTCCAGGCCTTGTCTTTTGAAAGCAATGACCAGGGAGGGTCTATGCCAGACATTTCAACAATCACGGCGCTGAGAAAACTGTGCTTGGGCTTTGGGGATGAAACCTGTGTTGAGGCGATCAGTGCCCATCTTCCTAATCTGCAGCACTTGGAACTGGAGCTGGAAGAAGCAGCAGACGAGTCCCTGTCCCTGCTGGCAAGGCTTCCCCGCCTCCGCTCCTTGATGAACACGGAGGTCGGCAGTGTGAACAATCTGGTGGAATCTGACGGCTCAGCATTGCAGGAGCTACAGGAGCTGACCATCATCACCTGGTCTGATCAATTCACAGAGCTGCCTGCAGCCATCACCACTCTCCACCATCTGACATCCATTCACATCTGCGCGCCGAAGTTATCATCTCTCCCGGACGGCCTTGGGGCATTGTCAAGGCTGCGCAAGCTGGAACTCCCCTTCTGCTCATCGCTCGCGCATCTCCCTGATTCCCTCACGCAACTATCTTGCCTGCATGAGCTGAACCTCTTCAACACCAGCATTCGCCTGCTTCCTGCTGGCTTTGCTAACCGCAGCAGACTGAAGAAGCGTCATCTCGATCAATACGAGCAGCTGGAGGCGCTGCCTGATGACATCTCTGATCTCAGAATGCTTGATTACTTGTCAACTAGTGGGTGTGACATGCTCCAACGCTGAAGGTGCTTTTCACCTCTTATAAGCTTAGGTCCATAGTTAGTGTAACTGCATGCCGGCATACGACTCCACCACGTTCTAGCATGTTTTTGTAGTGGCATGAAATTCAGTTCATTTGAAATTTAAACTTGAGTTAGTGAACTATTTTCAAGTCTTCATATACTGAGACATACATATATATTTAAGTATATATATATTTATATATATATATTAAACGTGAGAGTGAGGATATGAGGGGAAAGGATGTGGTAGTATGAGATGTGATAAGAGGCTATGTATAGTGGTATCAGGGAAGTGCGAAAGTGGAGAGACCTCTTTCCATCCATTCATCTCATTGCACAAAATAAAACCACCATCCAACAAAGAGGACACCAGTGGAGGGAGCAAGTGGGAATGAGGGAGAGGTTGCGTGGGGAGAGGTGGGGAGAAATGGTAGGAAGAGATGAGGGGGAATGGAAGCTGGGCTGTGAAATACTTTTGTGGCTCAATAGTGGCCACATTGTGTTGTTATTCAATTGCGTTTAATTACTTTTAATATAGACAAAAGTACATCCTGTTATGTAATGCCAGCTAATCTGTTGATGTAAGTATGTGTTGGCATTTAATGTAGTGGCAACATTATGCTACCCTTTCCCCTTGCCCCTTACCCTCCTGCCACTCCCTGTGTTTGTACCGATTCTATCGCTCTGAACAACCTTTGCATATCCCCCACTCCCCCCCCCCCCCCCCCCCCCCCCCCCCCCCCGGTTTTCGACACCTGCTGTCCTCCCCAAGTGGCAGCAAGCACGATGTGCCCTTCCAGCTGAAGCCACCTCACCTGGTTCCAGTCTAAGTTTGCCACGTCCAGGCTCTGTCAAATGTTCATGCTCAAGGCCATGCAACTCATCATCATTCATTCAAGACCATCACGATTCCTCAATCCCCATGATCATGGTACAGGGGTATGCATGGCTCATGCGTCCATGCATGAACCACACCATTCATTAGATGATTGTGCATCAAATGACTGTGTTATGTCTCCTTCAATCCGACTGAAGAAAAAACAGTTCAAAATATGCACATTGTATTCTGCATTGTCTCAAACCCTCCTTGCATTCCCTAATAACCACAGGTGAAGGTGATGATGCCCAAAGGTGAAGGTGATGATGCTCCCATACCTCCTACTCCTCTTATCCCATCCACTCATCTCATATCCCCCACTCCTCTTATACCCCCCCATCCTCTCATACCCCCCCTTCTCTAATCTTATGCACGCCCTCATACCCCATTTCCTCTCCCACCCTCGCTCCCACTCCTCTCGCTACAGCCCCGCCATACTACTTTTTTACCAGCACACGATCCCCGCACATCCCCACACCCTCTCCCTCCCCCACTCCTCCCCCTCCCTCCACCCCTCCACCCTAGCAAAGACGGCCGCCCCTAGCAAGGCACTGACTGGCAAGCAAGGCACTGACTGGCAAGCAAGGCACTGACTGGCAAGCAAGGCACTGACTGGCAAGCAAGGCACTGACTGGCAAGCAAGGCACTGACTGGCAAGCAAGGCACTGACTGGCAAGCAAGGCACTGACTGGCAAGCAAGGCACTGACTGGCAAGCAAGGCACTGACTGGCAAGCAAGGCACTGACTGGCAAGCAAGGCACTGACTGGCAAGCAAGGCACTGACTGGCAAGCAAGGCACTGACTGGCAAGCAAGGCACTGACTGGCAAGCAAGGCACTGACTGGCAAGCAAGGCACTGACTGGCAAGCAAGGCACTGCCGCCTCCACTGCCCATGCCCTCCCTTTCCGCTGCGGCGCAGGCCAACTGTGCTGGCTGCTGATTGCCGCCGCGGCTGCTGACTGGTTTTGTGGCAGTTTTCTGCTGGGAACAGGAGAACAGAAGGAAGTGGGTCCACTGCTTTGGGAAGGAGGCGCGTGGTGCAAGGAAGGAGGTGGGGTATAATGGTACACTGCAGCTGGTCACTGCTGGGTGAAGGAGGTGAGTTGGTGCTGGGAGGAACATTCATCGCCAGTGGTTCAGCAGGTGTATTGTTCACAGTCTATTCACCACGCCACCACCTGCATTGCCTCTAGCTGGAGTAACTTCAAGGGGAGGGAGCATACTGGGCAGGGCGTAAGCCACCGTCCCATTTTTTTCAAAGCATGCTTCCCTCTTGTCTAGTCTTTCCTCTCAGCAGCTTTCTTCTTGGGGTTTCAGAGGGGTGAGATGGGTGCAGCAGCATCTGAAACTGATAACTCGTGGCGACACACTTGGTGGATCGCTCACAAGTCAATACAGCTGACGAGCTCTGGAAGTGGAGAGCCTTTTAAGCACGTTCTTGTTGTTACCTTATTTCGGATTGCTCCCCTCCTATGACGTCGCACTCCATTTGACACCAATCCGTCTCGCCCCAATCCATCTCGCACACTCCACACCACTCCATCCCACATAAGTCTCTCTCACAACACTCATAACACCACTCCATCTCATTCACACACTCCACACCAGTCCTTTTCACATCACACATTTTCACAACACACCATTTCACAACACACCTTCTCGCAACACTCCTCACCCCTCTCCTTCCCACACCACTCCTTCTCACACCACTTTTGATCATTGTTGTGTGAAAGTGGAGGAACCTGGTATGGTTTGGTGAATTCGTTCAGCGAAATTTTCTGATTCTTGAGTTACAAAGCAGGGACTGTGTGGGCGCAAGGAAAAGGGCAGGCTGTCAATGCGTGTGAGGGAGGGAGATGTGACGGGATGGTGGGTGGAGGGCCACGAGGTGTGGGTAGATGGGGGTGGGATGGAGGATGGAGAAAAAGAAAAGGGGGGGGACTGGTTGAGACAAGAAGGATGCAGAGAGAGGGAAGGGGGACGAGCAAGAGGAGGGCCACAACGAGGAGGGTGAGGGGAGGTGGAGGAGGATTGGGTGGAGCTGCTGGAAGGAGCTGCTGGAAGGAGCTGCTGGTGTGCTTGGGGAGGGCGCTGGCGATGCAGGCAATGACAGCCCTATGAGCGTCATGGTGGATGGTGGCAAGGAGAGCAGCAGCGGTGTGGATGGTGGTGGTGGCTTGGAGGGAATGCAGGCGAGGCAAAGAGTTATGAATGCAGAAAGAGGAGAAACTGGGTGCTGATTGCTGATTTATGCATCACTTGACATGGGTGAGTGTTGCCACACCAGACATAATTCCATCATGCACCATTGTTCATTATCATGAATAATCCTTCCCAGTTGTTTTCTCTCAATGTTCCGTGCTGTTACATTGTGCATTGACATAGTCCTTTTCACTTGTACTCGCGGCTGCTAATTCTGCTGCTCCTCGCATGGTCGCATCAGGTTCCTTTTGAGCAGAAGCGATGCACAACTGAGAGGTGAGTGGGAAAACGTGTCAGTGGGGTTTGGGAGGGAAGTGCGTCAGCAGTGAGTGGCTGTTTCTACTGCATACTCAGAGAAAACTGCCATGTCTTTGATAACTCTATTGTGCATCATTCATGTTACCACCCCCTCTACCACCCCCTCTACCCCTCGTCACCCATGCTGACACCCAATAGTCAATCCTTCTCGTCTGAGTCTTCCAGAACGGTACCATAGCTGGATGGCTCTATGGCAATAGAATTCTGTACTGTTGCGCGTTGGCTAACAGTTTCAGATGGTGTTTAATTAAACTTTTGCACGTGTATGGACTACGTTGTTAAAGAGGCAAGTTGTCTTCACATGACGCGCGCCTGCACCACTCTATCCTTTCCCGCACCACATTGTGCTTGTTGGTGCAACCCTACGGTTTGCACTCGGCTTGTTGTCCGTGTGCGTGCATGCGTGTGTGCATGGAATGGTATGAGTGCATGAAATAAATATATATTTCATGCTTATAATGGTGTGTGAATGATGGGTCATGATGTCGAGTGTGTGTGTCAAGTCAATAGCGAGTTATCGCTAGTCGCGTGTTACGCGGTCATTTTGTGTGTCCCGCGCAGTTTCTATTTTGTCGTGTGTCTTGTGCACGGTTTCTATTTTGTCGTGTGTGTGGAACGTTCGGCGTATCGCAGGTGTGTGCAGCAGACCCATCAAGAACTCAAGGATGAGTTTGTGGTGAAGAACCAGAGCCTTGGTGTCAAAATTCAAGTGATCGCGAAGCCCGCGAAATGGGTACACCTCAAGATATTGAAGATAGTTACATTACTTTGTGTAGTGTAACATTTCACTTGGTGTAGGCCCTAATGAAGGGTAGTTTCGAGACCCTTCGTAGTTGGGGACAGTGTGGCACTGTTCCACATCACTGTACCTCGGCTCTTGGGGTTTGTAGGAGCTGGGAGTCATTCCCAACTCGTAACTCTTCCTAACTCTTCCTATCTTGTGTTCTAAGACTATAGTGGCTGCCATAGTGCCGTTCGTTCAAACCGACGCTGTGCCGTCAATACTTGGTGAAATCGTGCGATCTAAATTGCCTATTGTAGGTGACTTCAAAACGCTCCAGATCCAAGTTGAATCAGGTCATTTGAAGCAGTGACCAGAACGCTATGAACGTTTAAAGCCGCTGTGCCGAAATCCGACTGTGCACTCTATCTTTCGTTTTAGGCACATTGAAGCCTACTGTGAATATAACAGTGCTTGCCTTCACTTCCTGAAATCTATTCATCCTCTTTGCCACTCCTTGCTCTAAAGTTTCTACCTTATTTCCTTTTAACTTTCCTGCAGCAACCAGAAGCTGCCATTCCATTCCAACCTCTGTTGCAGGTAGAAGTCTACATGCGTTCAGATGCAGTGCATGAGGGCACTCGTGGAGCTCCAGCCGTGTGAGAGATGCCAGCTGCGTGAAGGAGGGCGGCAGCAGTGGACGTGTGCTGCACGATTTCAGAAAGAGCGTGTGCAGGTTGCCGAGTGCTCCCATGTTGCCAGCGCCTGCCACGCCCTGGGAGGACCTGCATGTTCCCTGCTGCTGCGCTCAGCGAGTGCCTGCCGCGCTGCTGCAACGGCGGACGCTGGCGGACGCTGTGTGGGGGCGGCTGCGGGGGTGGCCATGAGCCTACAGCGCCAGCCGGTTGCACCTGCCGCTGTCGCACCTGCCCGTCGCTGCACCTACCACTGCACCTGCCGTCGCTGCATCAGCCGTCGGCCTGTCGCTGCTTGCTGTAGCCGCACCTGGCGCCACTACCTGTCGCCGTTGAATCTGCCAACGCTGCACTGGCCTGCCACCGTATCTTCCGCTGTACATTTCTCTTAATCTGCCTTCTCCTGCTGCAATCGTGGACCCCTTCAGTGGGTGTTGTTGTAACCAGTTGATGCTGCAGGAAGGGGTGTGTCGACAGTCTACTTGCTGAGTGTAGCTGTTTGCCTACCGTATTGGTGGTGCACCTAGCCTGCCCTTGCCACCATTCTACTCTTCTCTTTAAAGTGAAACCCCTCTCTCCTCTTCCCAACTTCCTAAGACCCTACATTTGACTGAATCTTGTTTGCCTCCGACTAAAGGTGGTTTCATGCATGTGGGACAAGATAATTCTCATGGCATGGCTACAAGTGCTGTGCTGAAATGAAAGCACATGAAGGGCAAGGAACAAACATGCTGGGGATATGCAGTGAGTGGAGTGGAGTCTAGGGTCGTCGCTAGCAGAAATTTCTTGTCTGTTTGTCTTAACTCAAGTCGAGTTTTTTGAGTTCATCTGATTTTTCAGAAATTGGTTTTTGTAATTTCTGATTGATGAGGAGTAGTTTTTGAGTTTATCTGATCAATCAGGTTCTTGTTTTGGTTTCATCTGATACCGAATCCAATTATGTAGGGGTGAATATGGGATTCGAGTTGTGAATGGGCGAATCTGATGCGTCAGGAGGCGAATCTGTTAGTGTCAGGGCGAATCTGTTAGTGTCAGGGGGCGAATCTGTTAGTGTCAGGGGGCGAATCTGCTGTGTCAGGGGCGAAATTATTGTGACGGGGCGAATCTGCTGTGTCAGGGTGACGGCGAATCTGTTGTGACGGGCCGAATTTGCTGTGAGGGGGTGATTCTGCTGTGACTGGTCAAGTCCGAATCAATTGCGTCAGACATGAACTTCGAAAATATCTGATACATCAGACACGGTAAAAAACATAATCTGATGGATCAGACGGGCCCGAAGGGCCCGTCTGATGCATCAGGCGCCCTCAAATCCTAGCGACGACCCTGGTGGAGTCAGCTATCCCACCTTGGATGCGTCCAACAACCTCTTCACCACCCAAGCATTAATCTAGCAATCTATGCTTACTCCGAGTAGTCATAAAAGGTCTTACGGTAGCGATATGCAATCCACGCATGCCGTCTAGGCACTCAGTGTCAAGGTCATCAGCGCACCCTGTGATGGTCAAGCTATGAAGCATCGTGAGGTGGGAGATATCCCTTGGCAACGCTACCAGCTGCCTACACCCATGCAGGTCAAGAGTCCTGAGCCGACTCAGCCGTCCAAAGTGGCGAGGCAGGGAGTACAGGGAGGTGCAGCGCAGGTTCAGGTCGTGCAGGCAGGAGAGCTGCGTGAGGGAAGCAGGGAGCTCTGCAAGTGCAGAGCAGTTGGCCAGATTCAGCCAGCGCAGTCGAGACAAGGCACCAATGCCATCCGGTAGGGAGGAGAACTCGGGAGCATGGATCTCAATGGATGTGAGGCGGTGCAGAGCGGTGACACTCTCTGTGAGCTCCCTCAACTTGACAGCCTGGTTGATGTGAATACACTGCAGTCGCTGCAACACTGGAACATACTTCTTTGGAAAGCTCTTGAGGCGCCCAGCAGTTGCGATTTTGATGCTGCGGAGGTTGGGCAGCAACTCTAGGGGCAGCGGGAGGTCCTCTGCCTCGCCCACCAGCGACAGCTCCACGTTCTCCACAGAGGGCAGAACCATGCCCGGCACCAGCCCGAGCATGCAGCCCACACTTATGAGGCTCAACCTCCTCAGCCGAGGCAGAGCAGGGAGTTCCAGAAAAGGGGTGAGGCGTTGGTAGGTTCCCAGGGAGAGGATTTCGAGGGAATGTGGCAGCGATGGCAAGAGTTGTGGCAGCTGAGGAAGCTTGGCCAAGGCCAACTCCTTGAGCCTCGAAAGGCTGCTCAAGGTGTTGGGGAAGGAGGAGAGGTCGCGGCACGCGCAGACTTTGAGAAGCTCCAGGTTGACGAGGTCAGTGAGGGAGTCGGGTATCTCGGTGATGTGTGAGAAGGGCTGGATGACCAGCTCCCTCAGGTTGCTCAGCCTCCCCATGTCCCCTGGCAGCTCCACTATCCCACACTCCACCAGCTCAAGCCTGGTCAGGGAGGTCAGCTGCATGAAGGAGGATGGAAGCAGCTGCTGCGGGAAGCTTGAGCTAAGATGGAGCGTGTGCAGGTTGGTGAGCCCGCCAATGTCGTTGGGGAGCGTCGAGTAAGGGCCCTTGAGAATGACGACGCACCGCACGGCTGTCAGCTCACCGAACGCTGCGGGGAATCTGAAGGAGGCACCGCAGTGGAACAGGTTGAAGGCCTCCAGGGAGGTGAGCTGGTGGAACGACGCTGGAAGGCCTCTCATCTGCACGTGCGACAGCGTTAAAGCCTTCAGCGTGGGTAGCGCTCCGAAACTCTCAGGCAGTCGGGCGATGCCGCAAGAGGAGATGGTGAGCGTCTCAGGCAGCTGAGGGTGGTGAGCTGCTCGGGCAACTCGTGCAGTTTCTTGCACTCGCAGATGCTCAGGTCCCGAAGGCGTGGCAGCCGCTCGCCCATGTCGTCAGGCAGGTGCTCCAGCCCCTCGCAGCCTTTCAGGAGCAGGCGCTGCAGATGGCTAAAGGAGAGGCCTGGCGGGAAGAGCACGTCGAATGGCGGGCTGCACGGGTCCAACTTGAGCGCTCTCAGCCACGGCACCTGCGCGAGTGAGAAAGAGAGCTCGTCCATGCTTCCCCGTTGGATCCGCGTCGCGTTGGACAAGGAGAGGGTGGTGAATGCTGGGAGCCGAGCGAGAGTCGCGAGATCGAGATCCGCGTCCTCGGGAACGTCGAGGGCGAGCGCGGTGAGCGACATCAAGCGCGTGAACCCTGGGACCTGGAGAGGTACGGCGTGGGTGAGGGCGAGGGTGCGCAGGTGCGCGAGGCTGGCGAGGGATGGCGGGAGGTACTCGTACAGATGCACGCAGTAGAGCGAGAGGTGCTGCAGCTGCGTGCAGCGACGCACTAAACGGTCCACACCAGCCGCCGTCACCGGAAAGCCATCCCCGCCTCCCCGGTTCCACTGCTTGGTCATCCCCTTGCCCACGTGCAGCGACACGAGTTTAGGGCACGCAGCGGCGAGGTGAGCGAGGAAGGCGTCCTCGACGCTCTCGACGCTGTTGTCGCTCAGATGCACGTGCGAGAGGTGCGGGAAGCGCGCGACGGCCGCGGTCAGATCTGCGAGCGGAACAACGAGGTTCTTTTTCACGAGGAGCATGGACACGTGCCGACGAGCCAGGCGACGCCAGCGCGAGCACACGGAGGCGATGAGGAGATTGTATGCCGGATCTGTGAGCGTGGCAGGAGCTGTCAATGGATTATTGGTATTAGCAATGGTTGTGCTACTACTGTTGTCGTTCCGACGCAGCGACAACGGTAGTAAGTGGCCATCAGAGGTGGTGAGCTCTTCGCCATACGGGTTTTCGCACGAGTACCTCGGCCCTGGCAAGTCGAATAGCGTTGTATCAACGTTGTTGTCTATGGACTGGCGAGGAAAGTAGGGTTCTTTGGAGCTCCAGAAGATTCTAACGAGCAGGTCGTCTGACAGATCGTTGATGTATGCGCGAGGCATGGTGTCTAAACTAGCGAAATTCTTAGTGTGCCTTCGGTGCTGCAGGTAGAGTAATGTGAATGTGAACTGCTATTGTGTGGCAGGCAGTCGGGCTTGACGGTATTCCAGACTACGGAGTACCCCCCACAGACCTCACTCTCCTTCAGGTAATTTGCATTTTCCGCAACGGCGGGGCGGGGTGGCGGGGAAAGCTAGTGCAAGGAGAATCACACGAGCCCATGCCCGGACAGACGAGCTGGGCTTTGTCCTCCTTTCCGCAAACCTTCCGCCATGCTTCCGCATCCAGAACCGCCTCCGCTCACAAAGGTGAAGGGGAACCCTGACGAAGAAGTCGAAAAGTAACAAGAGGTAACGAGATGACGGTTTGTGACTGTGATTACATATTCTTTTGTGGTTACTTTTGCAAGCGAGGCAAGGCGGCCTCGAAATTGACGGGAGGGCGGAGGTGGCTGAGGTCGGAACTTTGGGGCGGATCGAGATTGTGCTGGGGCTGCGGAACTGAATGTGGAAATTCGTGAGAGAGCTGGTTGGTTGAGCGCCCCGATACGCTACGTCCCGACAACAGTCATGCGCAGTTCCAGCGTCCACCGTCTCTTGCCACCACAGTTTCTACTAGCGCCGTAGCCAACGAGCGAGAATGGTATGAAACTTTTTTTTAGTCGTCGTGTTTCTTTGTTTCCAAAGTGCCGACGTCCTTCTGCATACGTCCATCTGCTTAGTTCAGTTTCACTCTGTCAGTAACGGCAAGGGAATAGCTATCATTTCGATCCTGTATCCAGTACGTTCCGCTTCTTCCGCGCGCGTCGATTCGATTCGCGCGCATTGTTTCGTTGGCTCAGCATCGAGTCGTTCCCCTAACATGACGCCTCGGTTAACGCCTCCTTGTTCGACCTCGAAGGGTCCCTTCAGTTCAGTCTGACTGTATATCGATCACGAACCAAGTATTATGGCCCGCATGGCTTCTTTTGAGTCTTTGCTGCTTGAGTAGGTAATTCGCGGTACCCGTTCGAGGGTTGCACGGACGAGTACTGTGGAGCGAAGACGCGGCATGTGAGAGTCGCGTAAGGACTGTGAGGGACGAGGGAGTGCTGATAGGGCTGCGGTGGCTATAAGGAATGCGTTTGAGCTTCCAAGGGGGTTTTTGACTATCCTCCCAAAACACCCCGCAAGAACCCACATGCCTCCCTTCCCACCCTCCCTTCACTCCTGACCCATCCGGCTCCGCTGCTGCGTGCTGTTCCCATGCCCTCTCGCCTCCACTCGCAAAGCCACACTGCTTGCCATGCACCATCTAGAACCTTCCCCCTACCCCCCGTTTTACCCTTGCGCACTCCGCTTTCACTTACCATCATGCCCTGGATATACCCCCAGGTGGGGGTGTAAAAAAACCTGGAAAAATGGTGGGTGGGCTTATAATGTGGTTTTTTTTATAACCCCATGGGGGAAATAAATGGGACTTAGAGAATTATAATTTTAAAACATAGAAATGTATATTTCAGCCTTGCGGTTTCAATCGAGGCTACCACAAAACAGCTTGCTTCGAAATTCACCGAGAATCTGCCACCCTGGCGAAAATCCCTGCCATGACGTGCTGAAATGTTGCTAACACGTGCGCGCCTGTGGCAATTTCGCCAGGTGGGCCAGGGAAGACTTCGCCAGGCACGTCAGCGACGATTGCTCCTGACGCGTTAGTGGCGAATTCACTAGAAAAATACAGATTTGAGTAAAATTTCATAGGGTGCGGTTATACGAAGATGATCCAAATTTAGGGTGGGGTTATAATCGGCACCCGGCTATAAGCCCACTGGTACGATTATAACCGCATGGGTGTAACATAGGCCTGGGGGTATATCCGGGGTATGACGGTACACCTTCCCCCTCTCCCTCCCCTTACCCCTGCCTTTGCGCTTGCCCTCTCCCCCTTCCCTTTCCCCCTTCCCCTCCCCACTCCCCTCCCCACTCCCCTCGCCCCCTTCCCCTTACCCCAATCTCTTTCCCCTACCCTTACCGCAATCGCCTACCCCAACGCCAGGTTCTGCCGTGACGTGCCTCGCGACTCGTCCCCGTCGAGGTGCGCGCGGGCCGATGGGAGTGGGTGGGCGGGCCATGTGCCATGTGCCAGCGTGCGCGCAGCGGCCGTCACCACGGGGTCAACCTGGACCATCACCACGGCCGTGCCTCACCGCGGCCGTGCCTCACCGGGGCGCTGCCTCGCTGGGATTGTGCTGCCAGTGGCGCTGCTGTGGGAACCGCAGTGGTTGGTCGCACCTCCTACACCCCCACTTGTCCCCTGCCTGCCTGCCTCGCTCCTACACCCTCACGTGTCCCCTGCCTGCCTCGCTCCTACACCCTACGAGCAGAGTGGGGGGCAGCAGCAATGGAAGTGATAGCACATCATGCGCAAGGGGGGCAGCATTTGGGCTTGAAGTGAATCAGCTCTTTCAGCCGAGGCAGTTGGGTGTGTGTGCTGCCTCTGGTCCTCCACCTCACTCTTACCCCCATGGCTGCTTCCTCACTGTTGACAGCCCCTCTCCGGCTCACGAAGCGGCAGCTAAGACGTTTTCTGTGCTAAGACCCCAGTCAAGTACTGGGTCCTTTCCGTCTGCCGGGGCTACATTCCTGCCTTGGCACACACCAGGTGCAGCACACAACGCCCACTCTCTTCCTCGCACCTCCCTCGCTTGCTCTTGCTTCTTTGCATGGCTTTGCATCCTTCCCCTTCTCCCTTTCGCCGTCCCACATTTGTCTTACACTTTCCCCCTACCCCACCCTCTCCCCCTCCGCCCATTACCTTGCCTGTGTGCATTACGTTTCCGGCTTCCACGTTGGCGCCGTGGTGTATGCCGTCTGGGCCCAAAGGAAAATCGGGGCAGGTGCAGCAGCAGTGGAGACGCTGCCTGCATGTGGATGTGGACGTGCAGTGCAGTGCAGCAAGATGACTCGCGAGGCCACTCATGCACGCACGTCGCGAGAGGCCAGCCAAGCTGCAGCGATGCTACGTGCTGCAGCGCAGCAGGTGGGGCAGCAACGGGGACAGGTAGGTTGGGTAGAGGTGAGGGGAGGAGGGCAATTGGAGGAAAGCAACAAGCGAGCAGGGAGGTCAGAGTGAGTTGAGAGAGGGGGCAGGGGAGGAAGCACGTGTTTGTGGGGCATGGTGAGGCGTGGGCGTGTGAGCAGCAGGTGAGCGCAGCAGTGGAGTGGGTGATGGTGGCATGGAGGGAAGGGAGGCGAGCACTGGGTGGTCTAAGTGCAGCATATCACCATAGCTCTTTCACAACGGTACCATAGCATGGCAGCGTGGCAGCAGGCTTCTGTCCTGCTACACCACCGTTTACATTTTAGGCTGCATCTGGTGTTGCTCTTACAACGTCGGTGTCGATGTTGCGCGTGCATGTACCGTACCGTATGTTGTTGCAGGGGCAAGTAATCGTCATTTGACCCTCTGCACCATTCTATCCGTTGCCGCTCCTCACTGTGCTTGCCTTCACTTCCTGACCTCCGTTTCATGCGCGCATGCCCTGCCACTCCGTGCTCAGAACTTTCTCCCTTCTCCCTTTGAAGGTCCCTATGTCCTGCAGAGCCAGTAGGCAGTCAAGCCTGCATGGTTTTCATGCATGCAGATGCTAGAGGGTATGTTATGCTGTGCATGAGACACGTAACATGTTACACACTACTGAAAGGTCATTCATGCTCTTGATTGTTCAAGCCACAACTCTTAGTCAGTATGACCGCACACAGCAAATCCACGACTAGACTACAATAGTTTTACCTGTACATAACAGCATGCTGGCTGGCGGGACTGTAATCATGCAGGATGTTTTTTCAGCTGCTGCCACTGGAATGGACAACTAGGAGTCCTAATGACCCACCAACGAGCGCTAGTACATCCAGCGGGACGAAGTACCTCCCCCAGAGAGACGAATCTTGCCTTCACTGTCGTGCATCTTGTCACAGCCTTGAGAGACCAAGCAGTCCAGCAGCTTCAGCTCGCCCACGTCGTCTGGCAGCGCCTCCAGCTGCTGGCACCCCTCCAGGTCGAGCTTCTGCAGGCGCGTGAGGCGAGACAAGTTGGCGGGCAGGCATGTGATGGCGGCATTGTTCACACACAGCTCTCGCAGGCAGGCCAGCCGCGTGAGGGACGCAGGGAGGTGCTGGAGCGCATTGCAGCCGCAGAGGATCAGCTTGCCTAATCTGGACAGTGTCCCGATGGAATCGGGCAGCGAAGGCAGCTTGGGAGCGTGGATCTCCAGGTAGGTGAGCCTGTGGAGCGCTGCGATGGTGGCTGGGACTTCTGACAACTCAGGCACGAACAGTTTCATCTCACGCAGCTCCTGGAAACTCGAGGCGGAGAAGTGTGGAAGCTTTATGACCCCGGTGGTGATGAGTGTGCGCCCGGTGGTGATGAGTGTGCGCGTGCGCAGGCACGGCACGTGCGGTGATGGGAATGGGAACTCCTCCTCGCACGCCAACACCACATGCAAGTGCTCCAATGCAGATAGGCTGCCGGACAGTGCAGCTGGGAAGATGACCATGTTCTACCTTGCGCTCTTGAGGCGTGGGAGAGAGTAGGTACCCGGCAGATGCATGACCTGCTGGGCTCCATTCCCCAAGCATATGGTTTCCAGCGACCCCGGCAAGAACTCAGGTGCTCGCCTCAGCCTGCCACATTCGGTGAGCTCCAGCTGCTTCAGCCTTGTGAGATTGATCAGACTCTTGGGCACGGAGAAGAGGTTGCCGCACTTGTCCACCACGAGCACCTGCAGGTTCAGCAGCGCTGCCACGGACTCTGGGAGCGTCTGGATTTGCGGGCACGACAGCACGTACAGCTCGCACAGGCGCCTCAACTCGCCTATCGCGTCTGGCAGCTCCGCCAGCTCGCACTCGTGCAGCTCCAGGCGTGCGAGCGACGCCAGCTGCGTGAAGGAGGAAGAAAGGGTTTCCCGTGCGCTGTACGATTTCAGGAAGAGCGTGTGCAGGTTGGTGAGACCTCCGATGTCGTCAGGGAGAACCACGAAGGGTGAACCCGCGAGGCACAGGGTCTTGAGCGCAGTGAGGGCGGCGAGCGGCTCTGGTAGGTCGTCCAGGTGCTCGCAGTCCGTGACCACGAGCGTGTCAAGGGACTGCAGCTGGCTGCACGACCCGGGGAAGTAGACGTTCAGCTTGTGCAGCACGAGCGTTGCCAGCGCAGGCAACTCTCCCATGTAGTCTGGCAGGCCCACGAATGGGCACCTGGCGAGCTTCAAGGAGCGCAGCCCGGTGAGCAACGTGACCGCCTCGGGCTGCTCCAGCAAAGTGTCGCACGCGCTGATGCTCAGCTCGCGCAGGCGTGGCAGGCGCTCGGCGATGTCGTGGGGGAGATTCTGAAGCTCGTCGCACTGGTATAGCGACACGCGCTCGAGCACGCTGCACGGGGAACCTGACGGAAACATCACGTCGAGCGGTAGAGAGGGGCTGGACCCGAGATCCAGCGACCTGAGCGATGATAGGCGCGCGAAGGAGAACGGTCGAGGGCGAACGTTGCTTGATAAAAGCGAGACTTCGTGCCGCACGGAGAGGGACGTGAGGCTCGGCAGGTGCGCGAGGGGCTCTAGGTCATCGAAATCCCACACCGCCGTGTCGATGGCGAGCGCCGCGAGCGCGCTCAAGCTCTTCACTTCTGGCGTCGTTACCGCTGACAGATCGGCCAGCGCCAGGGATCGGAGATGCGCGAGCTGGAAGAGCGAAGGTGGTAACCCGAAATCGCAGTGCAGGCAGCCCAGCGAGAGGTGTTCCAGCTGCGTGCAGCCGCGGAAGAACGCGTCGAAGCCGGCCGGCGTGAGCAAGGTGTCCCCCAGCGGGTCGTACTCGGGGTTCTGCACGATCGCACTTCCCAGGTGGAACGCCGTCAGCTTGGGGCAGCACGCCGCGAGGCGCGCGAGGAAGGCGTCGTCGATAGGCTGCGCGCTGCCGTCGCTGAGATGCAGGTGCGTCAGGTGCGGGAAGCACGCCACCGCCGCGCCGAGATCCTCGCGAGACACGGCGCGGTCCTCCTTGATGAGCAGCGTGGACACGTGGCGCTGCGCCAGGCGACGCCAGCGGCGGCAGATCGACGCGAGGAGAAGATTGTACGCGGCGTCGGCGAACGCTGGAGGAAGAGGGGAATTCGGAAACATGGTATCTCTCTGCTGGTAACGTGGCTCGCCTGCATTTTCGCGAGTGAGCCTTGGGGTGGGCCGCACGGTGGCCCACAGGGCCTCGTCGTGGGGCTGGCGAGAGGAGAGGCGGTGGGAGGGCCAGAAGATGGCGATGAGAAGCTCGTCGGGAAGGTCATTCATGCGCCAACACGCCATAACACTACCGCAGGTGTAAGGTAATCCAGGTAAAAAAGGAGTACGAAAGCAAGTGCGCTCGCTTGGAATATGGTGTTAGGGAATAGATTTTTCCGAAATGTAATAGATGGCTGTTATCTTGGTTCGGTAGTTTTGACCTATCGCCTGCTGCCCCTCCCACGCTTCCTTGCTTTCTGCAGTTCGTACCGTTGCCAGATCCTGTTCGACTCTGCTGTCTGATCGCCTCGGATCACAATCCCGCCATTTCCTGCCGTTGCTCTTGCTGGTGACGAAGCGAATGTGGCGGATCAGGAAGGAGGGATGGCGAGTTGATTCGACTGCCGTATTCCCTACGGATTCAAAACTTGGAGGGTAGTCAAGCATTTGTTCCAAGTTACGAAGGGTTTCATTTGTTCGTTTTTCCTTTCGAGGTTCACACAGCAAAGGGAGCGGCGTGCGAACCCAAATCAGAATCGGGTTTTCCAGTCGCGGTAGCAGACGGAGTGTATATGTGCGCTTCAACTCCCACGGAATACGGACTGACCGAATAACTCTTGGAGGTTCAAATCTCGCTATATTCTAACAGTTTAGAAGCTGGTTTCGTTTGGAATGAAGAACTGGCTTCCCGATCTATGAACTATCATATGATTATTCAGTGAAGTGAGACAACCACACACACTTCACCAAGTGGCTCATCACTTGTGTCGTTCATTGTATTCATACACTGCTCCAACTCATAGGATAGCTTGTTATGAGAAAGCTTGATCATTGGGATACACAGGCTACGGTGTGTACATGAGCACCTTGTATTGTGTTACCTCACATTATATAATGCAATACAGAATTTTGCATCTGGTCATGCATCCATTTGTATATAGAAGAGCATATAGGCTTCTTTCTGGGATTGAGAGGCTGTAACATCAGTCTCTGATACCTGCAGGTTTGATTTGAAGAGAGAAGTTTTGTGCAAGGAGAGACAAGAAGGTGAGCACACATTCAGAGGTTTTTGGGGCCTGTAGGCAAGAATAGCCTGGTGCGAGGGGAGGATGGAACGATGCATGGAGGGTTCGGATTAAGGAAGATTGATTGCGATTGCAGCAACGTGCGTCCACACAAGATCAGCGTCAACATTGTCAGAGCAACTCACGTTTCTGATCACAGCGCCATCATCGAGCTGCGTCCAACCAGGCGGTGACAGGCTGTCATCTGCCACGTCAGCGATGTAATGACCGTGAGCCACGGAGGTCCCCATGTGTCGCACCACGGCCCGCAGAGCGAATAGGGAGCTGCCACGTGGCTGTGATTCAGCGGAGATAGAGGAAGGTTGGAGCAACGTGAGATGAAGTTGATGGAAGGGGGGATGGAACACTGGCATACTGCTGTGCTCCCGCGCTGCCGTCAGCTGCTAGAGGAGGAGGGTGGTGGCATGGATGTGTGCAAAACAAATAGTCGTGACAAGCCTCTCTGATTGCGCTACAGAAGCAGCCATTTTCTGTAGAAACCCTTCTCTCACCGAGCCATTTGAGTGACACATTCTACAACTCACCTCTGCGCCTTGATAGACAGCTTCCTGCATCGCTGCTGGACAAAAGGGACCTGATGTGGTGAACACAGAAGTACACAGCAGAATTGACAAGTGAAACAAACTCAGCCACATGCAGAATATAGCAGCATAAAAGGACGCAAAGACAGAAAATGGCCGGAAAAGGCTCATTCAGGATATGAAACAGCAGCAGGAGAATTTAATGGATTTCCGTACCGACGTCAAGTGAGGTGGCAATCTCCACCTGATCCATGTTCTTCCTGCACTCATACCGCCCCCTGCACTCATACCGCCCCCTGCTCGCCTGCATTCCCTCCACGCCACCACCACCACCCACTCTGCTGCTGCCACCATCCACCATCACGCTCACAGGGCTGTCATCACCACCATCGCCTGCACCCTCCTCAATCACACCAGCCGCCCCTTTCAGCAGCTCCGCCCAATCCTCCTCCTCCTCTTCATTCTCCTCTGCACACTCCCTTGCCTCGCCCATCCCCCTTCGCCCCTCCTCTTGCTCTTTCCCCTTCCCCTCACTTGGCAACTTAATTTTCCCAACCACCTGCCCCTCCACTCTCCCTGCATTTTCCATTCCCTCCGCATCTCCACCCACCGTACTCACACGTGTGATCAGCCGGCCGCCACCCTTGAGTCCACACACCAACCCCTTAGGTCCACACACCAACCCCTTAGGTCCACACACCGCCTTCAACACCATGGGCCTGCCTGCAGCCTTCGCCAGGGAGAAGGGGTTGAGCGACGGAGCCCCAGCAGCAAGCAGAAGAGGAGAAGGGGGGAGGCGAGAGGAGGCAGGGTGGGTTGTAGCATGAGGCGCCTTTCCAGTCGGAGCAGAGGGCGGAGCTGTTGCTGTTGGCATGGAAGATGGGTTCTCTTCGGGGCATGGAGGGGAAGGGTCAAGAGGAGGGCGGGATGCGAGGGGGCGCGTGTGCTGAGCCATCGGAGGGGACGCAGCGGCAGGTGGTTGGCCCGATGGAGGCCGTGCCATGGTGCTGCTGCCTTGGGGGTTTCCACGGGAGGCAGTAGCCTCCTCGTGGCACAAAGTGGGTTTCTCAAGGCATGGAGTGGGGTGGAAGGTGGTTTGAAATCGGTTTAGGTGGAGGATGAGGATGCGAGGCAGGCGCAGGAAGACTCGGGAGATGCGGCACGGTGCAGAGCGGTGACAGTGGGTGCACGCCCTGCCTTGCACTGTCTCGTCCTGGAAGAGGGGGGAAGAAAGAAAAAAGGTGTGTGCTGAAGGAATAGAACGAGACAGATTACATGGGAGTGAAACGGATGCTACCTGGTGCAGATGAGAAAGAAACATGCACAACAATCAAATGCACGTGGCAGGAAGCAGGTTGTACCTGGAAGAAGTGTTGCAGCAGCGCTGAGAGCGGATGGTGAGTAAGGGAGGCGCCAGCAGCACTGGGATCAGTATCACTGCCTCTGCTACCCCCACTGCTGCGTGCTGTAACAGTAGAGCCAGCAGGAGCAGCAGCAACTGCAGATCCAGCAGTGGTAGAGTGAGGAGCAGGGCAGGCAGGGTAGGAGGGGTAGGAAGAGGGGATGGGGAGTGAGAGACAGAGGAACTCCTCTTCTCCACTCTCTCTCCCTCCACACCCCTCGCACTCCCTCACCACCCTCACCGTGGACAGGAAATCGCTGCCAACACCACATGCACTCCCGTCCCCAGTGCTCACCCTCTCTCCCCCGCCTCCGTCCTTCTCTTTCCTCCCGCCTCCACTCTCTCCCTCAAGACCCGGCCCTCCTTCCTTGCCTCCTCCCGTCCGGCCTTCTCCCAGAGTTGCCGTGTGGGCGTGGGTGGGAGAGGCTGCGGCAGCGGCGATGGTGGCGGCTTCGGAGCCAAGGCAGTGCAGCAGCGCGCAGAGGAACTCGTGGACGTCCTGATGGGCGCGATGGTGCGAGGATGGGCGTCGTGACGGGATGAGGGTGCGAGGGGCGGAGGGGTGAGCTGTGGGTCATGAAGGTGGAAGGAGCGAGATGGGTGAATGAGAGAGGGGAAAAGGAAGATGCTTGTCCCACACCACTCTCGCCTGCTGCTCTCACCTGTTGTTCCTGTCCTAGGAAGATGGCAGCGCTTCGCCCCACGGCCCTCTTAACAGCCCTTGCATCCGCCACGCCACCCGCTGCCCCCCTCGTTCGGCTATTAAAGCTCCCTACAGTGGAACCACTGCCGTTGCCACATGGCAGGCCCAGCAGCTGCCACGTCAGGCGCTGAAGCTCAGTGGTGACTGGGAGACGGAGGGAGGAGGAGCGGGCGAGAGAGGCGGGGAGGGGCAGGTGGAGGAGGTGGGAGAGGAAGGGCGGCAGGGAGGCGAGGGCCTGCAGTGTGGCGTTCACGTAACACATGTTCACTGCCTCGCCCCTGCTGTTGAGGAGACTGATGGTGGGGCGGGGGGAAAGGAGTCGAAGGCAAAGAGCAGGTGACGGAGGGGCAAATGGTTGGGAAAAGGAGAAGGGGAGGAGGCGGGGGTGGATTAAGTGAAGAAAGAAGGTCCTGGGAGATGTGGATGGCATCGAGGCATGCGCGGCACACGTGGGCAGGGGACAGACGAGCAAGGAAACGTGGAAGTGGGGGAGAGGGACCAGGAATGGAGACGAGCGAAACATTTGTTGCGGTTGGAAGGGAGCAAGGGAAAGGTGGAGAGCAGAGAGAAGAGAAGTGCAGAACGTGCAGGATCAACGAAGGCGAGGAGGAGAGGGAGAAGTGAGAGAAAGAGAAGCGAGAGAAGAAGAGGAGCGGGGAGAGGAGTGGCGCACCCTATCCTTGACCGTGGAGTTATGCAATAATGGCGCCCATCCTGGCCGTGCCCTGCCACATCCTCCCCCGCGTCACCACAGCGCCTTGCAGCCGCACCTTCCCCTACTTCCGTCACGCACTCGTTTCCCCCCACCCCTCCGCCGTGCGACTTCCCTGCGTCATGCTCACACGCCCACGCCTCACCATGCCCCATCCCCGCCTGCTTGCTCCCCTTGCCCGTTTCCGGACTCGCCCCACCCTGCTCGCGTGTCCCACTCTGTCCACCCGCCGCCTCCTCGCCTCGCGTCCGCCCTGCCTGCCCGCGTTGCTGCCCCACCTGCTGCAGCACGTAGCTTCGCTGCACCTTCGCGCCCCTCTCGTCACTCCTGCTGTCCACGTCAGCATCCATCTGCAGCCGGCGCTTCCCCTGCTGCGGTTGCGGCCTGCACGAGCCCTTAGGTCCGGGCCGCCACACACCTGCCATGGCGCCGCACATAGACATCGACATGGAAAGGTGGAGCAAGATGAAAAGGTGGAAGGGGGGTAAAGGGGCCTTTGCTCGAGCAGTCACGGAGCACATTCATGGAGTCTGCCTGCGTGACCAGTGACGGCGAATGCAGGAGCGGTGGAGCACATGAGCGGCGTTGCGACGATGATGATGATGATGCGCGTGCCGCTCGAGTGCTGCACTGTGACCCATGCAAGGGTTGAAACATCAAGAGAGGAAGGAGGGAAAAGCACAAGGAAACGGAATACGGAGCATGATAGCGAGAGAAGCATGCGGGCGGGAAGGTTACAGCTGTCGCGAATGGCGCGCCACTCACCATCGCCAACTTGAAGGAGGTCGCAGAACAACTGGCGCGATATCGGCCGCTTCAGCCTTAAATCCGCGTCCCCTTTCAACTGCCCTTTTGACAAGCTGCTGGGAGGCGCTGACCCTCCTCCTTCTCTCGCTTTCCGCTCGTCTCTCTCCCGCTCCTTCCGTTCCTTCTCCTGCCGTCTCTTCCGCTCCTCCATTTGCTCCTGTGCCTGCTGCCGCTCCCTCTGCGCCGCCAAGCCCGCGAGCGCCACAGCTCTGCCTCGTCCTGCTTATAGCGGGGATACGAGGGGCGACACACTCGCACAGAATAGGTTCGTTGCAAATGCAATCCCTCGCATTGAAAACCAGAGGCGACCGCCGGCGCGCCGCGTTACTGGATGAAGCGACTCAGACATTCGATCCCGAATCGTTTCTAGGCAACACCACGGAACGCAGTGAACACACGAGATTTTGCCATTAAGACTTCTGAAACGCGAGTAGCAACGGCAGCGGCGCGCACCGTGTTTGGCGCATTTCAGCAGCAGCTGGTACGCCGCGTCCGACGACGACAGCTTGCCGCCGCTCGCCATGCTCTCAACGTCCACGGCTCGAACTCAAAGCTGCACGCACAGCACGCCGTTCGAAACGTTGAACAAGGGCCGTTCAATTCCACGACGGCCCTTAGCGGGCAGCCACCGCAGCGCTGCACATTGGCGTTCTATCCGTCGCAACTCGCCAAGGCGCGCGCTGCTGCGCACGCCGTGAGGAAACGGTACGCGCTGTGGAACGGATACTAGCTAGTTACAACCAACTGGGCTTTGGCCGCAATCGGCATGTGGCCCGCATGGACACCGTTTCGGCAGCTGGATTTCGCGCTTCTTCAATGTCGTGAAGCGACTGGGACAGCTAACTGAATCAGATGCCGCAAACAGCAAGACGCCTCGGGTAGTGGGCGTTGTTGCAGAAGGCTTCACTTGGGATGGGAGATCCAAAACAGCTCTACCATGGCAGACAGGTGAGGGCCAGATTCTCGCTTCGTCCGCTCCGCACTTCTGGTTGGGGCAAGTGCAGCTCCCATTGGTCGACTCAAGTTTCCACGGTTTGAATTTCAAAACAGCTTCAGGATTGAAGACATGTACGAATCTTCAAGCTGACGCGATTAGGTACAAACGATGCAATCTTAACCTCCCCTATATAAGATCCCAGGGCCAAATGATAAATTCCAAGTGTAATAATTTACAATGCCTCGAATTCTTTTATGTGGACATAATTTTCTTAGACTGTTTATTTGAATGCCGACATTGTTATGAATGAACTTTTAGAGTGCGCAAGATAACGAATAATTAGATTGTGAAAATACTGAATGACGATTAGGGCAAATCCGAGGGAGAAATACTTGAAAAATTCAGAAGTGGCGGGACCAAATAAGGCGAATCCCAACTAGGCGGGGCAAGGATGGCTCGGGAATATTGCGATCGGGGCTGGGGCGACACGGGAGTGATTTGGGTAAACGAATGTAGGCCAAACCAGAATGTCGCGTGGCCCTCGTGATGTATTTGCCAAGGGCTGCTACATTCGGGATTTCTAAATCCTTACATTCTCCCACCTTCCAGATATGCCTTCCCTATAACTATAAGCATCCTTCAATATCGCTAGTGTCGCGGATCTTCAGTTTAAGTAAATTCGACGGCTGATATTGGCATTGGCCAACTTGAAATGCAAGTTGGAATTGAAGCCGTTGATGAAATCTGAAGTCGATCTGAAGGTCAAAATGTGCACGGTTATGATGGGAACCTGCTGATGCGAATTTCAAACGCGAGTTCAAGAACCATTGATTTCGTTGATCAAGATTGTCCGTCGTGTTGCTGCATACTGACAAAGTAAAAGAAGCAATGAGAAAACGTCGAAGAAAGAAACAGTGGAGTTCAAAGAAACACACAAAAAAAATTCCCGCAGCTACGCCGAGATGAAAACCAACCAAGGCCAGGTGTACACTTAAAAGAGCGATTAGTGTCAAAACATATTTGTTAATGTTTGCTTAGGTTGTAGTGGGTTTAACCTTAGGGGGTACAAGATTACTCTTGACATTGTACTTGTGCTCCCCTCATGACCTAATGCCTTCACCCATTCCTGCTTTCCTATCATAACATGGTATCAGAGCAGGTCTAGTTCTAGGACCTATTTTTTTTAGGGCCCACCGAATTAGTTCTGTTCTGCCCGAATCGCGCCCCTAGGCGAGCCGTTTTTCTTGCCCGAATCGCGCCCCTAGGCGAGACGTTTTTCCTGCCCGAATCGCGCCCCTAGGCGAGCAGTTTTACATGCCCGAATCGCGCCCCTAGAAGGGCCGTTTTCTCACGCACTGCTCTGCCCTGCAACCCGCGCGCCGCCCTGCCCTGCAGCTAGCTCGTTGCCCTGCCCTGCAGCTCGCGCACCGCCCTATCCTGCAGCCTGCGCGCTGCCTTGCACTGCAGCCCACGCGCCGCCCTGCCCTGCAGCCCGCGCGCTACCCTGCCCTGCAGCCCGTGCGCCGCCCTGCCCTGCAGCCCGCGCGCTACCCTGCCCTGCAGCCCGCGCGCCGCCATGCCATGCAGCCTGCGTGCCGCCCTGCCCTGCAGCTCGTGCGCTGCCTTGCCCTGCGGCCCGCGTCCAGCCCTGCCCTGCAGCTCGCGCGCTGCCCTGCCCTGCGACCCGCGGACTGCCCTGTCCTACAGCCCGCGCACTGCCCTGCACTACAAACACCGCCAGCCCTGCCCTAGGAGTGACCCGTGCTAGAGCACCCAGTTCTTCGAGCGCTTCCCTAGCTGCTCTTCCGCTGCTGCTCCTTGCTGCCACTGACTGCCATGGCCACTACCACTATCCTCTGTCAGCGGCAGCCGAGTGTACAGGAGTCTCTCTCGCCGCAGCAGCTTCGCGAGTGGGCTATCTGGTGGGGCAGCCCTGGTGGCGGAGCTAGCCGTGCTAGAGCTAGAGGTGCTGGTGCTTGCGGTGCTCGTACTCTTCGGCGCGAGACGCTCTCGTCGCAGTCGCTTCGCGAGTGGGCTGTCCGGTGGGACAGCCCTGGTAGCAGAGCTTGCGGTGCTACTACTAGAGGCACCGGTGAGACTTCTCCTACTGGTAGTGCCGTTTGTGGACGTGGAGGTTCTGGAGGTGGACAGCAGCGGCAGCAGCGTCCGCCGGAGACACTCTCGCCACAGCAGCTTCGCGAGTAGGCTATCTGGTGGGGCAGCCCTGGTGGCGGAGCTAGCCGTGCTAGAGCTAGAGGTGCTGGTGCTCGCGTTGCTCGTACTAATCGGCAGGAGACGCTCTCACCACAGCAGCTTCGCGAGTGGGCTGTCCGGTGGGGCAGCCCCGGTGGCGGAGCTTGGGGTGCTACTACTGGAGGCACCTGTGAGTCTACTCCTATTGGTAGTGCCGCGGAGGTTGTGGGGGTGGACAGCAGCGGCAGCAGCGTCCGCCGGAGACACTCTCGCCGCAGCAGCTTCGTGAGTGGGCTGTCCGGTGGGGCAGCCCCGGTGGCGGAGCTTGGGGTACTAGTGTTGGGGGTGGAGATGTACCTGGTGGTGTAGAGGCTACTAGTCTAGGTGCTTGTGACTCAGCTAGCACAGGTGCAGAGTCTGAGGAGGCCTTGCACACTTTTCTACGCGACTCAAGCGCGTCTCGCTGCTTCTTCGGCAACTGCACCATAGTCACACCGCTCACAATCCCTGTCCCTGTCCCTCACAGGTTTCCACCTCCCCTCGTTCACTAGGAACTTGGTGGCTACAGCTATCCTACAGGACCAGTTTGTCACTGTTACCCAGCCTGGGAAAGAGCTCGTGGCGATCTGTACGGACTCACGCACTGGCGAGCACCTCGCCACGTTCACTCGGAGGCCTGGGTCGGATCTGTACACACTGACCACTGAGTCTGCACAGGCGGCTGCGTCAGGTCAGGTAGCTGCGCCGGTTGAGGTAGCTGCGTCTTGATCGTGTCGTCTCCTCACGCACCATACTCTCCTTTGGCACCACCGTCTTGGTCACCCCTCCTTGCCACGCCTGCGTGGCATGCACTCCCATCTCCTTGTGTCTGGCATCCCCAGGTTCCTGCCCCCACTTCCGAGGTCGCTTACGCCGCCGTGCCTTCTCTGCGTCGAGGGGCAGCAGCGCGCCGCTCCTCACTCCTCCTCGTTTCCTCTTACCACAGCTCCTCTGCAGACCCTCCACATGGACGTGTGAGGCCCCGCCCGCGTCACTGGACAGGGTGGCGAGCGCTACTTTCTGCTGGTTGTTGACGACTACACGCGCTACACCACGGTCTTCCCCTTGCAGAGCAAGGCGGAGGTCCGCAGTGTCTTGATCCGCTGGATCCGCGCTGTCCGTCTCAAGCTTAGCGCTCGGTTCCTGCAGAACCTACTGGTCCTGCGGCTGCACTCTGACCGAGGTGGTGAGTTTTGCTCCCGGCCCCCTCGAGGACTACTGTGGTGCTGAGGGCATCCGCCAGTCGTTCACGCTTCCGGCGTCTCCGCAGGAGAATGTGATTGCATTGGCTTGGTCATGGAGGTTGCTCGCACCTCCATGATCCATGCAGCTTCTCCTCGTTTTCTGTGGCCGTTTGCGATCCGATACGCCACTGAGCAGCTAAACCTCTGGCCCCGTGTCTCCCACTCGAAGATCTCCCCTACTATATGATAATTTTTAAACACACATAGTGTTTTTTAAAATTACGTATTTCGAAAGCGCAGCTGACTGTAACGGGAATTTGGCATCGTCGAAGCGCGCTAAACGCCCATCTCCAACTACAAATCGTGGGTTGGAGTTCATTTCCCTCCACCCACGTCTCTCATTTTTCAAACGGCTCATGCAACTCTCAGTTCCTCGAGCTCATTTTTAGTTTTCCGTTCAAGCTGGCTAGAACCCGCTCTCTACCGAGAGGCGTTTCACCTTCAACATTATTAGCCGACATTCTCAACCACAACGCCACGACGATGGCTGCTACGCCGACACTTAACCGCGCGAACAACACCGTCGTCAACGACCCGATTAATTCCGACAACGATCGCAATGCCCGGGAAACGTCGGGCGAACGCCGCAACAAGCGCCGGGCAGACGGCGAAACGTCCGCCCCTACTGCCGTCGACGTGCTGCTGGGCGGGCTCGAGGTCAACAAAAACGCCGAGCGGCACCAGCAGCACCCTTCGGCGCCTGTGGCGCCTGTGGCGCCTGTTGCGCCAGTGGCGCCTGTGGCACCTGTGGCGAACGTGGCGCCACACGCTGCTGACGCGGAGCACGCGCCTGAGGCACACGCGCCCCTCAGGCAGTCGCGTCAGCGCCAGAGGCGCAGGACGGCCGCCTCGTCTGACGCGACCGTGGACCCTGACTTGACCGGGGCGTTGACCCCGGACCAAGTCAAAGCGCTTCTGTCCCTGTTACAGCAGCGACCCGCCAGCGTCATTGAAGCCGAAACTACACAACCGGCAGCATCGATTTCGGCTAAAAACGAAAATTCGAAAAAGGAGAAGGGAGCAAAAGGAGCGCCCACACGCCGTCACAACAAAGAAGCAGCCACCGGCATTCCCGAAGCCGCAGCCGACAATCAGGACTCCGACGACTCA